GTAAACAAATTGTTTAATTATTAATTTATAAAAATTTTACAAGAAATAATAAATCATAGGTAAGCTGGTGTTCAAATATTTTTCTAAATCTTTACAAATATATTACGTAACTAATAATATATATATATTTATTTATAACTATGTTATGTTTAATTTTACAATATTTTATCTAAAAAATCTGTTATTTTCCCTAAAGATCATAAGGTTTGAAACACGAATAAAATTTTAATAACAGTCTATCGTATCTTATTTTTAAAAAACAATTTAAGTGAAAATTGAGAAAATTTATTAATGTGTAATAAATTTTAAAAAACTAATAATTTTTATTCATATAGTGTAGTATTAAAGGGGTATTTAAGGAAATTCAAAACTTTTCTAATGGTGTGATAGATAATGTGTTAATATTAGCTACTTTTTCAAATAATTTTTCATTTGTAGTACTTGTATCAGGCAATGCATTAAATTATCATAAATTAAATATAATTGTTGATTGAATTTTATATAAATAAAGTCTAGAATGTTTCTATAAATACAATTCAATAAATACTTTTAATGAACTAAAAAACTTTCTATTATTGAGAGCTCTTTATATGAAATAAATAAATATTTAATAATATAAAGAGTTTAAAAATGTATATATAATAAACATAAGTATGTTTGACATCAAAACAATTGACTTTTTAAATAGTATATATTCATACATATACTTATATCGATTTTAATAATCAATAAAAATACTGTTTATATTATATAGATTTGACACAAAAAAGTATAGTTTATCATATCAGCAAAAATAAACTACAAAACACTTATCTCAAACATAGGGGACATGAGATAAATGATAACAATTAGTAAAATTGAGTTAAATTAAAAAATACTTATAGTGAACAATACGATAAAATACATTATATTTTAATAATAGAGTCAATTGAAGTATATACCGGTAAATATATATACTGTATATATATTTACCGGTATATACTGAATATTATTTTATTATACTGTATATAAACCGTTTATAAAGTATTAATACATTAGATGTAAATGATATTAACCATGTGTTATGAGGATTGTTATACTATCATATAATATAGTTATAGTGTTGATATGCATTCAAGCATTCACTCAATTGAATACAAAATTAATTCAAACAATCGTCTCAAACACATAATCTCTCTCTCAATTCATTTCAATTCATTTCATATCTTTTCTCTTTCTCTCTCCCGACTCATGAACTCTAATATCTCTTTATAGGTATTGTATTATAAAAACAAAAGCAACACTTTTTTAAAAACAACTAAAAAGACTTAAAACCTAATTTTGTAACAAAACGTTCATTTATTATATTTCACATTAGATATCAAACAAACAGAAAAAATGAAGAAATAATTTTGAGATATAAATTGTTTGAACTATTATAATATATATAATAAGGCATATGTTATGGGGTGACCAGTCAACTATCGTGTAGGCTCTAAATTATTAACTTATTTGCCAATATTTACATTGTTTACAACAGTAAATCCGGTAATTATGATTACGATATCGACATAACATAACATTTCCTAACTAATCTAAATAAACCTCTTTTTCCCTAATTTTCACATTGTTTTGTTAACAGATTTTTTTGGAGAAAAAAATATTAACTAATCACTAAAACATGTGCCCATCCCTTGTATGCAAACCAAACATTGAGACATAGCACACACACATTGCATGCATATTATTATTATTATGCTTTATATTACATAACTATTAAATTATTGTTATGTATATGATATATATGATATATATGATATATATATGAGATCATATATTAGTATATATATATATGAGAGAGAAAGGAGAGTTGGCGTGTGATATATTGAGTTCAAAGTAGAAATCTATTAGATTAAGCAAATAGTATATAACAATAAAGTGCCTGAAAATGGGCCGACAGTTAACTTTCTTATATACAGAATATATATCAATACCTATTAAACGATCGGTCGATTCTCTGCTATATTTCTTTTGTTTAATTAACATAAATTATGTATGACTTCTTATATGAGACATAAATGCATATTAAATACTATAAAATATAATACAATAAAAATCAGGCGATCACTGTTTTAATAGTATAACTGTATAAGTCAATTGGCCGCTATGAAAGCCATTAGTACCTGTGCTAAGTGATGAGTAGTTGTGCTCTCTCTCTCTCTCTCTCTCTCTCTCTCTCTCTCTCTCTCTCTCTCTCTCTCTATTTCTATATACCTTTACGCTATATACTCTACTCTATTTCCTTGTATGATATGCTATTGCATGCATACCTGTGCGATATTTAGTTGAAAAACTATTAATTTAAAGCAGATAAAAACATAAATATATGTCTTGTTATTAATATCTCTCTAATAGCTTATTATTTAAACTCAAAACTACTAATAATAGTTGTACTGTATATATCTAATGCAAGTATTGTTGATATATTTGCTAAAAAATTAATTCAGAATATTATTATATTTATATTAAAGCAATAACTGGGATGTAAATTATTAATGCCATACCATTAGTGTATGATATTACAGACAATTACCTAATTTAAAATAACTACAAATAACACAGAGTCGGTAAATGTTTGTAATGATAAATATTTTCTTGTATTGGTATTGCTATCAAATATATGTATATAAAATAAGCAAAAAACATATAATGAATACAAAACACACACAACAAATAATTAAATGTGAAAATGTTGTGTTTTTTGCTAATTTTGTAAACATAGTTAACTTGTTTTATAAAAGTAGAGTGAATTACCGGCGCACCTCAATAGTGGTATACTGGTGCTCACTTATAGGTACTATATATGATAACCGCAATACACATATCGGTTTACATAACATAACAAGTGATGCTCTTTCCTATGCAATAAATAATAGTTATGATATAACTATGTATATATATATATATATATATATATAAATGTATAATAATATTTATAAATTACTATAATACCGGTCAGATTGCAATTTATATATATGTACATTCAAAAAGTATTTATATATAAATAGCACACAACCAATGGCATGGACTACCGATCCAATAGCAATTGCATGTATGTGCCCACAGTCTATCCCCTCAATAGCCTCTATTTAGTGTAAGTATAACAAAAAAATTAACACAACTGTATATTTTTGAATTACTGCTAACTAACTGTTATATATATATATATATAATATGTGTGTTTGTTTGCCATTTGAAAGCAGATCACAAACAGAGAGTGTATAGAAAAGACTTTTAAGAAAAGATTTAAAACTTAACGATTGCTTACTTGCAATCAAAAGTCATAATAAAAAGTTTTTTTTTAATTTTATTATTATTTTTTGGTAAAGCCATTAGCGGATCGATGAGAGCTGGAAATCGTTGGATTAAATCAAACACACATTAAAAATTTGTTTTGTTTTTGTTTTGTTCATTGATTTTCTCGTTTTTAAAAAATAATAAAAACATTCACTATTCGTGTATTTATTTATTCATTCTCATAGATGAAAATGATTTTACTCTAAATAAATAAATTACTGCATTTTGAAACTCATTTGAATTTACGGCTAAAAAAGTTTGTTTCATTAATTGAAGCAATCTTTTTATAAAAAAAAAGTTTTTAAAAAGTTTTTATTGAACTCTTTCATGTGTGTCATTCATATATTATATATGTTTGGTGAGTGTCTATAAGCAGTTCAATGTTTATTTTAGATGTGTTGTTCCCATCCATAGCAAAGACATCACTTGCTATATGATAGTGACTATGAAAATAACGTTTTGTTTCTCTGTTTTCTATATATAATATGAGTTACTTTTTTGTCATAAGTGACATCAAGAATAAGCAAAAGTTTATTTAACTCTCTTATCATTTTAATTTCAATTTTATTTTGTTTATTATTTGTGTTATCTTTCAATTTTTTCTATGTGTAGTGCATGTGTGACTGTTGTAATAATTGATTAAAAAATATAAATATACAAAAGTCTATTTAATATTTTAATTTGTGCCCATTTTTTCCTCGCTATTCATTTGTAAAGTATGTTTTCAAACACTTATTTAAGTTTTTTTTATCTTTAAGTAGAGTCTGAGAGTAAATGAAAATTAAAGAGAGAAATGTTTTTTTCAAATGAATGCATTCAATGAATAAATTGTATGCTTTTTTAATTAACAAAAGTGTTAAATATAATGAATAAAGTAAATAACATTAACTTTTGGTTTTGTTTTTAGTATTTAATTTTCAATGAGTAAAGAGTGAGTGCCTTTTAAGTGAATGAGAAACTCTTTTATATTATTTATTTGTTAAATATAATATTTATATATAAATTATAGTTTTTATTTATTCTGTTATTTTTAATCCAAATGTATGTTTCATTTTGTGTTTAGATATCAATTATATAATCATTTTGTAATCCTCTAAACATAACACACGACTATATATACGAGTAATTGTTTGAATTGTTTAGTTAATAGTAGAAGTAATTGTTTATTGATGAGAGACAGTCAATGGGAGTGCTATTATGCCAGTGAAACATCACTTTTATATTATTAAGATATAATATTACTGTATTTTGCAACTAAACACAGGTATAGCAGGATTGGTATGGCTTGGGATGGGATGAGTCAGTGACTGACTGATGGAGAGTGAGTGAGAAAGAGAGAGAGAGAGAGAGAGAGAGAGAGAGAGAGAGAGAGAGAGAGAGAGAGATTTGAAATGATTTGTTTATGAAGTTTATTATTATAATAATAGTACAGTAATATTGGAAAAGTCGATAAAAAAAGTTTGACTGAGATTTAGCGCCTCTGCAAACATTAGTTTATAAATTATAATATAATATTATATAACATGTTATGTATATATATATATATATATTGAATCAGGTTTTTAAAGTTCAATACAACTCTATTGAATGTATGAGTGGAGGAGCCGTAAGCCCTGTGCCGTAAGCCTCAGTTGGAGTAAAATACAAACTCTCTAATAGTAAGTGAATGAATGGGATGAATGGCATAGCATTGAAAAGCATTGGTAGTACAGCCTAACAGCACTCGTGTATGTTATAACTTATAAGCATTAAGTGACTAACAAAACAACATATTTGGTAATACAGTAATAGTGTTTAGTGTTTAACGTTATACACAACCATAGCATTGATAGTGCATTCATAACATACTAAACATCTTATGCTTAACATTAAAGTCAATGTATTTTCTCTCAAACAGTCATACATTGACTAAAATGGCTGACTCTGTGATGTAAACAGTGGACACATTGGGACACCATTTGGTCACCGATTGGCCCACACAGCCATACAACATACCAGTGCCCAAACAAACACAACTATGGACTAACACGACTGCCAACACAAAGCCAATTGATGCAACTCTTGCAGCCATAATAGGTATGTCTAACACATGATTGTCAATGTTTTGGTCACAACCTCTGTCTCTCTGTCATCTCATCTGTGAATAATTGCATCGGTCTCTTGTGTTTTGGCCATAAGTTGATTATGTTATTTGATTAATCAATAGTTGTCTCAAAAGACTTGCATTTCTATCTAATCAACTGACGTCGCGACCGACAAATGAGTGTTGTGTCTGCAGAAGAAGTCATTTGTCATTAATTAATTTGTCGCGACATTTGTTTGAAGAAGTTGTTGGTTGGTGTCACTGGCCTTGACATGAATACCTGCACCCGATTGTCGCGTTTGTGCCGTAAATACCAACAAATGCAATGCTTATGATTGCCTTTTGAGAGTCGGGTCGATATCATCACTACTGAAGCGCTTGTCTTATGAGTCATACCTTTGATCGATACTAATAATAATAATAATAATATTTATATTAATAATAACGGAAAGCATTGAATATCTTTTTATGGTTTACTTTATTATAACATATAAAAAGTATTGTTTTTCGTTTATGACATAACTTTTTTAATATGACATAAATGTTGGTTAAAAATATGTGTTATATTTGAAATCGATTTGTGTCCCAATTCTTCAATATGTTTGTCGTGTTTGTGCTCAACTCTCAAGACTATTGCCATTATATTTGAATTTGTTATTATTATTATTATATTTATTAGTAGTTTATAACATTTTTTTTCATAAAGTATTAGTTTAGTTGACTCTGGTATCGGAGTCACTCTTACTCTTGAGAGTCTACACGACTGTTGACTTCGAGTTACGGCTTGTAATGATTGGCATAAAAACCATTTCTTTCATTTGATCCTAATTTTTCATATCACTTATAAATATTGTCTTTTATTTTTATCGCAATGTCTTAGACTAAGTTTTTTTAAATTTTATCAATTGATTTATGAGTTTAACAGATTTTTCACATTGATATGAATGCAAACTTTTTGTGTGTATGTGTTTTGTTTGTTGACTTTTATTTGTTTAGTTGTTGTGATTATCAGAAAGAGAGTGATATCTAATTTTAGAGACACCAAACATCCCATATATTTCACTCTAATTTTGTTTCAAAAGACTGTGTTTATAATTATATACATATCATATAAAAGTATCTCTTTTGTCTCATTAAAACTAATTTTTTGCATATTTTGTCACAGATTTATGTCATCACAAGAATTCCTATCAAACAGTTTCCTAACAATATTTGGTGCCAAATAAGTGACACATTAATTATTTTTGAAGACAACCAAAATAATAATGCGTTCAACTATTGGAAAGAGTTTATCGTTTAATAGCGATATACTATTCAATTAAAAAAAACAATTAAAAGCCAAACAAAGAGGTATTTCTATAACTTTTTTAAATATCGATATTTATATGTGAAAAATTAATGGGTTTTATGTTTATTTATATATTTGTTTTTGTTATTTTAATATTTGATTTAATCATTTTTCTCATATGCAGTAATTGAATACTATTATTATTATTTGATTAATAATAGAAATATGTATTTGATAATAGTATTATTTTCCGCTTTATTTAAATCGATGGTTAATGTGTTTTTATTTTTTAGATTATTTTCCCTAATCTATTATGCAATTGTATTAAACGATGCTTTTCAATATAAATATTTTATTATATTTTAGTGTACCGTATGTTTAATAGTTGCAAACTTTTTTTTAAATGCTTTTAATGGTATTGTTGTTTTGTTTTGTTGTTGTTTAATGTTTAACATTATAAAATAAATAGCTAAAGTTATATAATATTTATACATTTATGATTTTATATAACATAGATGTAAACTTCCTTTTGAATGTATAGGAATTAAAAATAAAAACAGTTTTATGGTTAACTGAATTAAATGTTAGTATTAAAAAAAATATTTGTTAAACAATTAATTCATGACAGCCACTGTGATCTATGTTGTATTGTCAATGTTTACAATTATATAATAACTTATAATAACATTATTTAACTTCAATATTCAAACTTATTGTACAAAACTATGAAATAATTATCTAAATACTAGTGTCATATTTACTATTAAATATTGAATGAATTTATTATTGTATTTAATAATCAATTGTTTTTTATTTGTTATGTGACAGCAATGCTCTCAACGGACCGTAACTCGAAGTCAGTCTCTTGTGATTCTCTATTCTATGAGAGATCATCACTGAAGAGAAAATTAATGTCGAGAAGTCCTTCGGGAACGGGCAGTATATCCTTCAAGAATGATGACTACATGTATTTAATTAACTGTAATGAACTCATCAAAACTTGTAAGGTATGCGTATTTTTGCCGACAATTTGTCTAAATTTTTTCATTTTCCTTATTCATCATTGTTTACAAAAACCAATTTCCTTTTTCGTTACCACAGTAATTGTTACCCCATATGTAATGAATAGATTTTTAAAAACTAATAATAATAATAAACAAAAGTATAATTTTCTGGTTTTAATTATATTTATAATTGAAATTTACACATTTTTCATTTAAAATCTGTTTTATTTTTGCTATTTATATTTTTTTCGAATAATTGAAATGCTTTTAGATTATAAATTAAAAATAAATAATTATACAATATTTTTAAATTTGTTTTTTATGTGATTTATGTTAAAATGTCAAACAGGAAGCGCTTCTGGAGAACGAATCTACTGTTATAAGCAAATTTGCCGACATATCTGCCACTAACGGGATGAACGATGTCTCACATGAAGATTACATTTCGGTATTTATTGCAATATTTGCATTTTATTAGCTCACTATCTTAACTAAATTAATATTGTTATTTTTAACTATTTTTACAAAATTTAAATAATATAGATATACAATTATGTAATAACAATTTACGTAAAACACAGTTTTTTATACTGTAGTTAATATAATCAGTATTTTTATATGTTTTTTTGTTGTTAAAAATAATATATGATATCTTAGTGTTAGAATTACGGTATAATTTAAAATAGTAATTTTTGTAACTGATATTTATTTTTATTTAAAAATAATTAATATAAATAATATTAGTTAATTAAAAATGATTTTAAATATCACTAATTAGTAATTGAATGACACGACCTACAGGTTCAACAAACTCAAGAATTGCAAACTAAGAGCTCTTTGGCCGAGTTTGTCAAATGGTTAAGTTATACGGAACACCAATTGGAGACCATATGCTATTGTGCCAACACTAGGATTAAGTCCGACTGGAAAGACATCGTAAGCCATCACAAGGTTAGTGTGTCTTTTTGGCCACAATTAACCGGCATTTATATTGAGCCGTTAATTGACTTGTCATTGATGGTGTTCTTAAATAATGGACTGTATATATTAGTGCCCTTAAAGAGGATATCGAAAATATTTTGATTTGAAAAATGTTTCAATAGTTATATTGTTTTACATAATTATGGCTTACATTGAATTTAATAATTTTTAAATCACTGTTTTAATAACTAAATGACATAAATTTATTTTTAGTATTAGTTTCCGCCTTTGCGTACCATTTGAATCACACAATCGTGTGAAGACACTAATGAAATGAATGCTATTTAATGGGTATTTACTATCAGTTATTATGACTATTTAGCAATCATTAAAAGGCATTATTAAAAAACAGTGATTTTTAAATGATGTTCAATAAAATTGCATTAATGAAGTTGTAATGCCCTCGAGTTATTAGATGATACTAAGTTAGTACCGGTATTACTACCGTTAAAAAGCTAACTGTGCTACTAGTGCTGTCTAGTGTCTAGTTATCTAAATTGTGTTTTTACCGGTTTGTCTATCTGTGGCACTAATGTCTGACACTTTTTATTAACTAGTTTTTCAGATATTGATTACTATTATGTAATCAGCAGTCAAACCAGTTTTCCACTTGATTTGAGTTTATTATAAATATTAGTTTGATTTTACGCCACTGTATGTCTCTACTAAACCTATCAATCAATTGAGTTTTGAAAACAAAGTTTTCAAAAACTTTTTGTGTTTTTGGTTTTTTAAAAAAAAACTTGTGTTTGAAAACATTTGTTGTATTGTTTTTGTATAATATTATGATGTGATATGAGGTGACTGACAATAGGCTATATATAATAGGTTTTGATATTAAAACCAGGTTTGGGAAAGTATACAACAATTTTCTCGGTCACTGAAAAAACATATGTGTATTTCATATGTAATGTGTCATTGTTATTATATACTGTATATTATACTTAATATTATAACGGTTGTTTAAAGGACTATATAATAAGTTTGATGAATAATGGATATGAAAAAAATAAATTACATATTAGTTTAAAATATTTTTCGAAATAAGAGTTTTTATCAATTATTTAGATTATTAAAAAAATTACATTAAATTATAATAATAGGTTTCTCGGAGCATATAATATATTTGTTGAGAAAACTCATTACACTTAGGGTTGATTTGCATGGCTAGTACTTCCGTTTGTTTCTATGATTGCCTCAAATATTATATGTATATACAGTACAACTAAGGTCCTGCAAAACGTTATCTTTTTAATACCTTAAGTAAACAAATGCACAAATAAATGGTAGATTAGAAAACTAACTCCGGATTAAAATAAAATATTTAAATCACAAGTTATAAAAATACTGTAAAATGTAAATAAAAATAGTTTAAAAACATATAAATAGATATGTATATTATTAAATATTATTTTATAAATAATAAGTTTATGAACACATATATTATTTGTTGAAATAAATATATTTTATAGTTATAAATTTTTTATTATAAATATAATAATTTATTTTTATATAATTACTTTTGAGTATATTTTAATATTTTAAATATTTTAAGTTTAAATTAGTGCACATTATATTCAATATGAGTTCCCCATTAAATAATAATAAAAATTGTGACAAATTTTTGGATAAAATATATCTAATTGCATCTGAAGACAACAACTTTTCGGTAATTAACAATAAATTAAGATGCGATAAATGCGAACAAAACTTTGAAAATATTAATTTAATGACTGCTCGCCAACGATTTGAAGATCACAAAAAAACTCAAAAACATTTAAAAAATTGCGACAATAAAAAACGTAAATCTAGTGAAAACCTTAATAAAATTTCAAGTGAAGATAATAATTCAAACAAATTAGTAAAATGAATAAATTTTTTAAAAATTCACCTAAAAGAGTTGAATTATTTGTAAATCAATGCAAAATTAAGTTACCGCAAAAATTTGTCAAGACACGATGGGGTACTTGGATTAATACTTGTGTTTATTATGATTTAAATTATGAAACAATAAGTAATTTTATTTTAACACTTGATGTAAAAAATAAAATATATAAAGAATTGCAAGATTTTATAAATAATAATGAATTGCGCAATCAATTGTCTATAATATCAAAATATAAGATTATTTGTGACAAAATTACATATCTTGAAACACAAGGACTAACAGTTGTTCAACAATTAAAAGTTATTGAAGATTTTGAAAATACACTAAAAGATGATTATTTAGAAAAACTCAATTATTCATTGAGAAATAATCCGGATATTAAATTTTTTAAAAATGTAAATTTAAATAAAATGTATGAATATGTACCTCTAGTTAATACTGATTGTGAAAGATCTTTTTCAATTTTAAATAATATTTTAACAGATAAAAGATTAAATTTAACAAATGATAATTTAGAATATTTATTGTTCACTACTTATAATAAATTTATTTTTCAATTAAATAAATAAATAAATTTTAAAACTGGAGTTTGTTTTTTTATCTACTGTATATATTTTTTTGATTGAAACTGAGATAACGTTTTGCAGGACACTAAGTACAACTAAACAAAAAAGTTTGTACACTATTGATGTAGTGTTTGTGTCCCCTCTCACAGGTATTAACATATAAATGTATTATATCTTTGTCTTTATTTTAGCTGCAATTTAAATTTTTCGTATTCAAAACGCGAAACGAAAAGTAATTTTTTTTCACTACTGAATAATTGCAGTCCTAATGTCAAAACAGATGCCAGTCCTCCACCTCTCTGTCCCATCAAATATTTCACCCCTTTATTATTATTATTATATTAATGTTATATTGAAAAGGGTTGGTGATTGTCACAACATTGAACTAGAAAATTAGACACAATTTTATTTTGAATATGCATTTTTTATGCCAATAATAGTAATTATCATTATTTTAATGATGCCTACAATGGCATTATTATGCAATTTAATATTTTTTTTAATAAAAATAATGGTTTTTTGAAAGGCTTTTTTAAAGAGATTAGTTTATACAGTGATATAGTTTGTATAGTGTATATGATGTCAATTGTCATTTTGAAAATGTGAACTATTATTGTAAAGTAATTGTTTGCAGAAACCCATTCAGCATTAACTTATATAACATAATTGTTTGTATCATAGATTGTATTGTATATTGAGTTGTATGTAGTTTTTTCAATTGCATTAAAATAGGGTTTCATCTCATTTTCAACTCGTTTTTTGCCCCATTAATGCTATTGCCACTCAAGCAATGCATACCTACCTGTGCTGAATGAGCCAATGGTATGTTAGTAAAGTAGTGATATAAGGGACACGTGATGGTATCACCTGGTGCTTTCACAACAAGCAGTGTAACGCTTGAGAGGCTTTCCATTAGCTGTCTGTACTCGTGTGGCACTTGTATTGTCACAACTTTTGAAACTTATTTTACGTATAACTTTCCGATTCAAACACACAATGTATTGTATGTGAAGTATTGGTGCTGTCTGTCTGTATTATTATGTTATCCCCGAACTGTTTGCCTATTCCTCACGAGTCCGTACTGACACACGATTATCCCGTTGGCGACTGACTGACGCCTGGATCCAAACACTCACACCTCCCAAATGATCAATCGTTGTCAACCCAATCAATTCACCCGATTGTGTCCGTCCTCCACATCTCATGGCTTTACCTCTGTTTATATAAATGTTTAGAGTTTTGTGATTAACTGATTTGTTTCATTCATTTCTCATATTCATCAAAAACATTACCTGATCTCACATCTGACACAACCCATACTCTATCCCACGAGTCCTACCAAGAGATACATAATTTCATAAATATAAGTGATATATATATTCAATATTTACATTGAATATTCATTAACAAACTGATCATCAAATCGTTTCTACACTTTTATTATACATTTTAACGATTCCTCATATTGTTTGATATAAATAGAGAGAAAAAAGTATTTTTTTAAAATCAAAAATTATAAGTTTGTCTGACTGATGACTAATATCTATCACTGAATTTTGTATAACGCCTGTAAACTTGTGGTAAGTTTTGATTTTTAATAATAATTATTAAACTGATTTTCAAATGGCGTTTTGTACTCCATATTCCTTTTAATAATTAATTCATTTAATACTATTTAATATGTATTTTGATAACACATATTCACATTAGTTATTGTGTTGTTGTTATGTTTAGTTTTATTTTCATAATAAAACTGTATTTTTAAGCCTCTTATGTCAGCTCTTATCTGTTGCTTGATATGAAAAAGCAATATATTATCTTATATTATATTATTTCGTTTACACAGTAAATATGACAAATACAATAAATAAATTTAATACAACAATGAATGTCATATATTTTGGTTTAAACGCTATTGTTGTTTAATTTTCATGTTGTTATAATGGTTTTTATTAGTGAAATAACAATTTACAGGCAATTAATAGTTAGCTCTCTATTAAGGGAACTTATTTGATGGTTATAATGATAAGCTATTTCCATATTTCCCATTTGGCATCGCATGTGATTCCTGTATCCAAATGCTAACAAACATTTACTGTTAAATCTAATCAAATCAGTGCCCATTTCATTCATTTTCATAGTGTATGTAAAAGCGATAATTGTATTTCATTAGGCGTTCCTCTCATTTCAACCATATATGTAAACTTTATGAGAGACTCAAGAGAGTGACAACGGATTGATATTAGTCACTCACACACTCGCCTCTCAGCCCATAACTACTAAAACTCTACCCTTAATATACATAGTATTACATACCCTATCTTTCGTGTAAATTATTAGAAATTTTTTATTATGATTTTTACAATGTGTTTATAATATAATATGACTTTAGTCAAGCAAATAATTACAGTATACGAGTGTCAGTGCCTGTAAGTTGAAGTCACGAAAAACTTATATGTCTTATATAATAGTAGTGTTTTTTTAAATATAGTATTTTTTTAACTTATGAGTCTATC